CTAATTTTTGACAAAGGAGGCAAGGATATAGAATGGAGAAAAGAAAGTCTCTTCAATAAGTGGTGCTGGGAAAACTGGACAGCTACATGTAAAAGAATGAAATTAGAACACTCCCTAACACCATACACAAAAATAAACTCCAAATGGATTAAAGACCTAAATGTAAGATTGGATAAAACTTGTAGATGATTACATAGGAAAAACAATCTTTGACATAAACCACAGCAAGATCTTTTTTGACCCACCTCCTAGAATAATGAAAATAAAAACGAAAATTTAAAAACCAGACCTAATGAAACTTAAAAGCTTTTGCGCAGCAAAGAAAACCATAAACAAGAGAAAAAGACAACCCTCAAAATGGGACTAAATATTTGCAAATGAAACAGTGGACAAAGGATTAATATCCAAAATATACAAACAGTTCATGCAGCTCAATATCAAAAAAAACCAAACAACCCAATTAAAAAATGGGTGGAACACTTAAATACACATTTCACCAAAGAAAACATACAGATGGCCAAGAGGCACGTGAAAAGATGCTCAACATCACTAATCATTAGAGAAATGCAAATCCAAACTACAATGAGGTATCACCTCATATTGGTCAGAATGGCCATCATCAAAAAAGCTACAAATAACAAATGCTGGAAAGGGTGTGGAGAAAAGGGAACCCTCCTACACTGTTGGTGAGAATGTAAATTGATACAGACACTATGAAGAACAGTATGGAGGTTCCTAGAAGACTAAAAATAGAATTACCATATGACCCAGCAATCGCACTACTGGGCATATACCCTGAGAAAACCATAATTCAAAATGACACGTTTCCCAATGTTCATTGCAGCACTATTTACCAACACATGGAAACAACCTAAATGTCCAACAACAGATGAATGGATTAAGAAGATGTGGTACATATATACAATGGAATATTACTCAGCCATATAAAGGAATGAAATTGGGTCATTTGTAGAGATGTGATGGACCTAGAGTCTGTCATACAGAGTGAAGTGAGCCAGAAAGAGAAAAACAAATATCGTATATTAACACATATATGTGGAATCTAAAAAAATGGTACAGATGAACCTATTTGTAGGGTAGGAATAGACATGGACACAGAGAATGGACATGTGGACACAGTGGGGAAAGGGGAGGGTGAGATGAATTGGGAGATTAGGTTTGACATAAATACACTACCATGTGTAAAATAGATAGCTAGTGGGAATGTGCTGTATAGCACAGGGAGTTCAGCTCAGTGCTCTGTGATGACCTAGATGGGGGGGGAGGGGAGGGAGGTCCAAAAGAGAGAGGATATAGGCATACAAATGCTGATTCACTTCATTGTACAGCAGAAACTAACACAACATTGTAAAGTAATTTTACTCCAATAAATAAATAAATAAATAAATAAAATATACAACCTTTACCTAAGTCCTTATCTCAGTATGATTGTGGGAGGAACCCAATTTAAGGCTCTGATATTACAAGGTTTTTCTATGGGTTGGAAATAACACAAATACACCAAGAAAAATTCTGGTACATTTTAGCACCCTTGAAATGTTGATATTATTCATGTGCCAGAATTAGTACCTGGGATATTACTAGATATTGTGCTAAGTCTATTTTGTATGTTATCTCTAATTTGCACAATAATTCTACAATACAGATACTTATTTTCCTAATTTTAAGTAAACTTTAAGTGATAACATCAGCAATGACATAACCAAGTACGTGCTAAAGTTAATATATGAACCTAAGTCTGTCTGAAACCAAAACCTGTGTTTTTTGGTATTATACTATGTTACCTCTTGTTTAAAAAAAATGTAGGTAGCATGCCCTCTGGATTCATCCATGTTGTCACAAATGGCAGGATGTCCTTTATATGGTTGAATAATACTTCACTATATATTATATTTATATATATATATATATATATATATTCCATCACTCATATATATCACGTGTGTGTGTATATATATATATATATCATATTTTCTGTATCCATTCATCCAGCAAAGTACATTTAGGTTGTTTCCACATCTTGCTATTGTGAATAATGCTGCAGTGAAGTTGATTTCATAGATACAGAGAAAAAAATGGTGGTTGCCTGGGGCTGAGGGAAGGGGAAATGGGGTGATGTAGGTCAAGGGGTACAAATTTTCAGTTATAAGTTCTGAGGCTCTAATGCACAGCACGGTGACTAGAGTTAAAGAATATGGTATTGTATACTTGAAAATTTTTGACAGTAGATCTTAAGCATTTTCACCACAGGGAGGAGAAAGCAGATAGCTATGCTAACTATGTAAGGTGATGGATGTGTTTATTATTGTGATTTTGGTAATTGTTCTACAATATACATGTATATCAAATCATTACATCATACATCTTAAATATATGCAATTATATTTGTCAACTATTCCTCAATAAAGTTAAAAAAACAACAAAGTATATCAGCCATCTGGATATCTAAAAGAAAAGTTCAGGTGCAGTATTAAGCTAAAAACCCTGATTTCTAATGTAGTCATAGCATATTTTCATGCTGCACCAATAATAAAGACTATTTTATTTTCTTTCAAGAGGAAATAAAACATTAATTTTTAAAGATTACAAAAATAAATGTAGTAAAACTCCATTGGGGGAATTAAAAATAAAAGTTTTTAAGTTTTTATTTCTATTGTCTGAAATGATATATAAATAACTACCATATCTTTATTTCACTGATGCTTTTTCATGCCATGGTAACTTAATACAACATACTAAATTTCTCAGGCTAACCAATTAATTTGAAGTATGAATTATAGTGCACTTCTCACATTCAATACACATATATGCATATCAATAATAAAAGAATAATCAAATTGCATATGATGGCAACCATAGTATTTATTTGGATGGTTTATTTTAAAACAGTAGTAAACTTTTCATTTTTCTTTATCATAAAACCTTTTCCTATATATCTTATCACCTAGTGAGAAATTTTCAACAATATGTTTATTATTCATGTCATAAGTTGACCTATAATAAGGTAATACATATATGCAGTGGTTAAAAGTATGGCCTGTGGAGCCAGGAAATTCTCAGTTTCAAATTCAGCTACACCACTTGTCAGTCATGCAATTCAAGGTAAATAACTTTACATCTCTGAGCATCACCTTCCTCACCTACAAAGAGAGATATAATACCTCAGAAGTCTTTTGTGTGTATTAAATGAGATAAACTATGTATATCATTCCTTACAGGGTATGGCAAACAATAAGTAATAAAGTGATAATTACTATTGTTTTTTTCCCTTTATGTTCTTGCTGTTATTAGTTAAATTTTTATTTAAATGTAAAAATATTTTTATTAATCTTAAAATCTCACTTTATGAAGACCATTTTGTTCACTATCTGTCCTCCTTCATTTATTAATTTCTCTGGTGCTCTCTCTCGCTTTCTCTCTCCCCACTCCTTCTGGGGCTCCCATTATGCATATACTGATCTCTTTGATGGTATTGCATAAACCCCTTAAGCTTTCTTCACTCTATTTCATTCTTTTTACTTAAGTTCCTCTGATTGCATTATTTCCAATAATATGTATTTAAATTCACTGATTCTTTCTTCTGCTTTAGTCTGACATTAAAGTCCTGTAGGAAGTCTTCTCAGTTCAGCTACTGTGTTCTTCAGCTTCATGCTTTCTATCAACATTTGGTACTTTCAGCATTATCCCTCTCTCTGATGAAATTGTCACTTTGTTCATGCAATGTTTTCCTGACCTTGGTAAAAATCTTTATGACAGTTATTTTGATTTCTCTGTCAGGTAAATCATGTAACTCCATTTCTTTAGAGTCAGTTTCTGATTGTACACTAGGTGCTAAGGAACAAAAATTAGTGAGAAACCATCACTGACTTCAAGGAATTTTCAGTGATAAGGAAAAGGAAAGAGATCATTAAATGACTGCAATGCAATAAAAACTATCATAGCAGAGGCCAGTAAATCATAGAAGAGATGCCTGTAAATATACAGGTAGAGACGGCCAAACCTGCCTGGGAGGTGCTGGGTCTTAGAGGAAGAAATGCTGGCCTGAGTCTGAATTAACATTTTACCAAGTAGAGAAAGGCATCTGGGGCACAGAGAAAACAGCATCTGCAAAGGTACAAAGACTTGAGAGAAGCTGGTAGACTGGGGAACAGCAAGCAATTAAATATGGCTTTTTATCAAAGCTAACAGAAAATTAATCTTTCCACATCTTTTTAATTGTTGGTAAAACAATCATGGTACTTAGGGGTTCAGAGAACTGTCATATAACTGGAACGTCCCTTCAATCACACACACACATGCAAACACATTACTCAAAACGAAAAATAATCAACAACTGTATATAAAACAAAGTTATGTTTAACTTTCTCATTAATATTTTCAACGTATTCTGAATACCTACTATGTGCTTATATGCCATTCAGAGTATGAGGCTCAGATATAAAGAAGTTAACAAGATTCAACTACTACTGGGTGGAAATTCACAATTAAGCCCTGTTCTCCCCTATCAGAATACTCACAGCATTTGCTGTTTACAAAGTATATTACTTTTTCTGTTTTGTTTGTGTTCAACTGAATCTTTTCTTTAATTGCTTCTTTATAGAGAAGACTGCTCTCAGAAAGACTAAGAACCAGGTATACAGTAGACATTGAATAATTAATAATTTATCAAGTATTCAAATTATATTAGTTTTATCCCAAAAGAAATAATATCTGGGTAAGTATTTGATAAAATATAAGGTACTGCATAAATGTTCATTACTACTACCATTATCTTTCTAATCATTTATCACAACCAAAATACAGCACTTCATTTTTAAGTATTTCCAAGTTAGTTCATTCAAAATGGATTTTTCCTGACAACTTATTTCATTATGGTAAAAAATTAAATGGGTTGAATCACACTAAATGGTCAGATGGCATTAGATTCCAAAAATGACTCACTAGACAAGTTCAAAAGAAAAGGCCTTTGATACACTCACCACTTTCAAAGCAAGCATCAAAGATAAGATGTCCTTTCTTGGGCTGTCCACAGTATCCAGTTGGAAGCACCATATATTTGCTCACATTCCCTCCGATGGTATCATCATTTCCCAGATCATTGCCTATTGTTCAAAAAATTGGCTCATGTTAAACAGAAATCATAATGCATTTAGTAACAGAAATCCAATAAAATTTTTACCCCCTCCCCTATAATTTGGTGCTTATCCAGGCATTAAAAAAATTAACCACATATTGTGGTAGAGTAGAAAGAGAATAGATTTTTAAATCAAAAAGATATAGGCTCAAATCTTATTGCTACTACATATTAATTCCCTGTGTCACAAAGCAATCAACCGAATCCTTTTAAGCCTCAGTTTCTCTCATCCACAAAAAGGGAATGGTAAAACCCATATTTCTAAACTGTGTTATGAGAACTAGGTAATGAAAAATATCTAGTGTAACTACTGAAATGCAAAAGATGTTTGTATTTCAGTGCACAAGTGAGACTCATTGTAAGAGGCGGAGCTGTAAAAGAAAACAATCTTCTACAGCTGGGGGAAGAGCAGGAAACAGTCCTGGGCCTAAGACTATATATCAACATTATTTAAGGTCCCCTACCCCTGGGGAAGGAGTAAAAAACAATCTCTCACAAAACATATCAAAGGTTCAAAGCAGAATTAAAAGACGAAAGAGAAGTGGGATCACTGAAAAAACTCCACTCCAACATCAGAACATACAGGGCCTGCCTAAGACCTAGGCTAGACCAGTATAACAGAAACACTCCTAATCCCTCAATACCAATATAGCAAGCACTGAATAACAAACAAAGCAATCTAATTCTAGCATAGGGACAAAAGCATAGATAGAAGCCCCCTCTGTAATAGGAGTATCCAAGGGAAGGACAAAAGTTTAGGGTGGAGCAAAACATTGAAGAAAAACCCTCAATCACCCTATCCCTTTCCTTCATGAATAAAGTATCACTAGAAGCATATGAAGCCAGTGGCAAACTGAAGACAACCATAGCAACAATGAAACTCAACCCAGCTTAACTCCTGACTGGGTAGATATAAGCCCTCAAACAAATGCACCTAGGAGAAGAGGTGCAAGCATTGTAACATATAATATTTATATCATTCTCTACGGTTCTACGTGAGTTATGCAGTATTCAATAAAAAATTGCGGAACATACAAAAAACTCAAGAAAAAAACAACCTACTATCTTGGGAGAAAAAATAAACAGAACTAAATTCAGAAATGACCAGATACTGGAATTATCAGACAATGAATTTAAAATAACTAAGAATAATATGTTAAATTTTCTAGTAGAAAATGAGGACAAAATGCATGAACAAATGGAGAACTTCAGTAGAGAGATGGAAATTACAGTAATAAGCCAAAAGGAAATGCTAAAGCTAAAAAACACAATAAAAGAGATAAAGAATGTCTTCAGTATACTCATCAGTAGGCTTGACACAGATGAGGAAAGAACTGTGAACTCCAAATCAATAGAAATAAACTGAACAAAAACAAGGAAAAGAAAAGAAAAAAACAGCACCTAAGAGCTGTGGAATAAAATAAAATAATGTAATGTACGTATAACTGGAATTCCAGAAGGAGATGGGAGGGCAGAAGAAATATTTGAAGAGATAATACCTGAAATTTTCCCACATTTAATGAAGGATATACAACTACAGGCCCAAGAAGCACCAAGCAGAATATACTTTTTAACTTGGTATTTCATATTTAAAAATATAAATCACATAAAAATGAACTAAGATAAAAAATTAGACTACTTATAAGAAACTGAAAAACCGAAGTCAAAGGAATAACGTCTTTAAGTTATTGAAAGAAAAAAATGTCAACCTAAAATTTTAGACCTGGGACTTCCCTGGTGGTCCAGTGGTTAAAATTCCACACTCCCAATGCAGGGGGCCCGGGTTCGACTTCCGGTCAGGGAACTAGATCCCACATGCTGCAACTAAGAGCCCACATGCCACAACTAAAAAGAGCTCATATGCTGCAAAAAAAAATTTACCCCAAATTGTGTTGGACGAGTTAGTAATCCATATACTAAAACCAACCACACATCACACATAAAAATTAATGCAAAATAAATCAAACACCCAAATGTAAAATATAAAACTTATAGAAGAAAATATGAAAGTTTTCCACACACAAAAAAGAATGAGGTTAGACCCTTACCTGACACCATCCATATACAAAAATTAACTCTAAATGGATCAAAGACCTACATGTACGAGATGAAACTATAAAACTCTTAGAAAAAAGCAGAAGGAAATCTCCATGTCATTAATTCTTGATTTGGCAATGATTTCTTGGATATGACACCAACAGCACTGCCAACAAAAGAAAAAAATAAAATAAACTTCATCTAAATTAAAAACATGTGCATTAAGCACCATCAACAGAGTAAAATGACAACCTACAGAATGGAAAAAAAATCTGTGAATTACATATCTGATAAGAGGTTAACATCCAGATTATATAAAGAACTCCTACAACTCAGCAACCAAAACAAAAAGAAAAATTCCAAAATAGGCAAAGATATTGAATAGACATTTCTCCAAAGAAATACAAGTAGCCAATAAGTACATAAAAAGATACTCAACATCACTAGTCATTAAGTAAAAGCAAATCAAAACCATGAGCTACCACTTCCCACCTGTTAGGATGGCCACTATCAAAAAAATGAAAAATAATTTGGCCAAGACATAGAAAAACTAGAACCCTTGCACATTGCTGGTGGGAAATTATAATGGTACAGCCACTGTGGAAAACAGGCTGGTGGCATAAAAACAGTTTCAAACATAAAATTACCATAGATCCAACAATTCCACTCCTAGGTATATACTCAAAAGAATTGAAATTAGGGACTCAGATACTTGTACACCAATGTTCATAGCAACATTATTCTCATAGCCAAAAGATAAAAACAACCCAAATTCCATCAACATATGAATAAAATTTTTAACATTGTAGATACATACAATGAAATATTTATTATTCAGCCATAAAAAGGAATGAAATTCTGATACAGGCTACAACATGGACGAACCTTGAAAACATTAGGCAAAATGATAAAAGCCAGACAATGACAAATATTATATGATTCCACTTACACGAGGTACCTAGAATAGGCAAATTCATAGAGAAACAAAGTAAAAATAGAGGTTACCAGGAGCTGGATGGAGGAGAGAATGGGAGTTATTATTTAATAGGCAGAGAAAGTTTCCATTTCAGATGATGAAAATGTTCTGGAAAAGGGTAGTGGTGGTGGTAACACAACAGTGTGAATGTACTTAATGCCACTGACTTGTACACTTAAAATGGTTAAAATGTTAAATGTTATGTACATTTTACCACCAAAAAAAACCCTTAAACATGAAATAAATGGAAAGTATTTTTTTAAGTGGCCAAATGAAAAAGAAGTATGAGAATATCTGTGTATCCTTATGTTAGGCAAGATTTTACTATATAAGAGACGAAAATCACAGACCATAAAAGAAAAAAGTTATAAACTGGATTTTATTAAATTAAAATTTGCTGCTCTTTGAAAGGCATTATTAATTAAAAGAAAAAGTCAAGCCATGGACTGAGAGAAAATACTTGCAACACACATATCTGATTAAGGACTATATCAAGAATACATAAAAGATTTTATCAGATATTTCACCAAAGAGGATAAATAGGTGTCAAATAAGTCCATGAAAAGATGCCCAACAGCATTAGTCAATAGGGAAATGCAAATTAAAACCACAATTAAATACTACCACATACTTAAAAAGGCTAAAATCAAACTGACCAAACCAAGAATTGATGATGACACACTCAATTGAAACTTTCATGCATTTCTAGTAGAAATGTAAAGTGGTATAACCACCCTGAAAAATAGTTTAGCACTTTTTTATAAAATTAAGTATACACTTAACATACAACCCAGATATTCCACTCTTAGGCGGAATACTGAAGAGGTGTAAAAACATATGTTCAGGAAAAAAAAAAAAACCCTACACATGACTGTTTACAGCAGCTTTGTTCATAATCACCCCAAAACTGGAAACAATCCAAATGCTTTCAACTGGTGAATGCATAAACAATCTCTGGTACATCCATGCAATGGCATACAAATCAGCAATAAAATGGAAGAAATTATTGACACACATGACCACATGTGTGAATCTCAAGTGCACTATAATAAAAGGAAGAAGCCGAACTGTAAAGTCTACATCCTTTATAATCCAATTATATAACATTTTTAAAAGGCAAAATTAGGTATTTTTAAAAAACAAAAATCTGTGGCTGTCAGGGGCTGCAGATAAAAAAAGCGGTTGACTACAATTTAATCAATCAAATTGTACAATCAAATGTATAATACAATCAAAACTTTGAAATCTTCATTGACCCCTGCCTATCTCAGCAGAGTTATATATACCTTCCTGTCATTTGCCAGAGTGGTATATATGCACACATGTGTGTTTAATGGTGAATGTCTGCAATGGTGACTTGCAAACTCTTCCAGAAAACTCCTCAAGGTACTCAGGGATAATGGAGAGGAAAGCAGTTGCTAATAGGACAACTACTAGCCATGAGAGAGTAACTAGGACTAGATCCATACTCCCACCATAAACAACTAGAAAACTGGACAAATATATACAAAACAACTCTTTTCAGACTTACATGACAAGCAGTTGCCACACTGTGATGCCTGAGAGAAAGGGAAAACCTGAGGTGCACCTAATGTTAGTACTATTTTAGATTAGTGGCACTTTCTGGAAGATGGTACAAGAAGAGTGTTCCCAAACACAACAGGGTGGTTTTCTGAGTTGAGAAGACATAAGTAAGAGTTTGGAGAGACTGAGCAAAATTTGAAGGTCAGACTATTGAAGAGGAGAGCACTACGAGAGCCAGAGCACCAAAATTCTACAGAATATCTGCTTAAGACCTTGTCTGAATGCAAAGCCATGTAGAGTGAAACTCCATGAGACCAGACAAAGAGTGACTAGGAAGCTGTAGATTAACAATTTCCAAAGTGCACAGGGCTGGGAAACATT